CCATGTTGGGTAGTGAACTTCTCGGATGGCCCTGGCCTCCAGAAGTCTATCTACTGCTTCCTCTATTGCATCGACGTGCATCAACGTCGGTTTTCTGGCTCGTTGAATCACAGGTTTTGTCGATCTGTCGACATTCAGTCTGTGGCACGTGACCTCGAGGTCAATGCCAGGCATTTCGTAAGGTGTCCAGGCGAAAACCTCAATGTTGGTTCTTAGAAAATTTTCCAAATCTTTCTCCTCTTCTTCGGCTAAGCCTGAGCCGAGAAAAAAGAACTGTTCTTCATCCCCATCCTGGACGAGGATTTTCTTTAGTGCCTCTTCGCTTTTCTCGGCTGGTTCTTTGCCGACGTCTTCTAGGACTTCCACGTCCTCATCTTCAATTTCTGCCTTCTTTGGCTCTCGCACACAGCAGGTAGACTTCATTGCTGTCAAGGAGCAATTTTTTGCCTGTAGTTGATCCCCTCTGACTTCTTCAATCCTATGTTCTGTTGGGAACCGCAATAGTTGATGCAACGTTGAGGGAACTGCCCCCATTGCATGCAACCATGGCCTTCCCAGGATGATGTTATATGGCGGGGGTGTGTCAATTACCATAAATTCTGTCTTGATCTTTTTAGTACCAGCTTGTACTTCCACGCTTGCTGCGCCCAGTGGCCATGTCGGCGTTCCATTGAAGCCGACTATAGGGTTGCTGGATTGTTCCAAGTCGTCAGGATGAAGGCCCAGCTCCTTGTAACATCTGACGTACATGATGTCACAAGAGCTGCCTTGATCTATTAGGATGCGTTTTACTTGGCACTCCCCAACCTGGAGGGATACTACCAAGGCATCATTATGCGGATGCTGGACCATCTCTAAGTCGGCTTCAGTGAAAGTTATCATCGGTCCTTGGCATTCTTCAGGCCGAGGTCTTTTGTGTCCGACCTGGTTCACGTGCTGCAGGTGTTTTACTCTGGGTTTCTCCCCGAATGTTGTTTTCGTTCACCTTTGAGTGAATGACATTAACCACCCGTGGTCCTCCTGCCTGTGGTTGTTGTGCTGAGGGAGGCGGAGCTGCAGGTGCTTGAGGCAATCTTGCCTGCTCTTCTCTTGTCCTGGCCTCATCAACAAGGTCCCTCAAATGGCCTTGCCTTACTAGGTCTTCTAAGTGTGCTTTTAAGGCTCTGCAACCCTGAGTTGGGTGTCCTTCTTCATTATGGTAAGCACAACGCCTACCAATGTTTCTTCCCATAAATTCCCCTGGTGCTCTTGCCGGAGTTCTGAAATAGGGTTGGTTTCGTATTTGATCCAAGACCTTATGGATA